GCTCTCGCGGCTCCGCGGGCCCCGAGCCCCCCCTCCCGCCCTCCTCGCCCCGCGACTCCTTCCCACTGAGGGGCAGGCAGACAGGCCCAGAAGTAGGGGACAAAGTTGCTTGTCTTCTGGGATGCTCCCTCGGGGCCGCGAAAGATGAGACACCCTCCCTGTTGGCTTTGCTGGGTCTGGTATGTGGAGTTTAAACTCCGGCTTCTGACCGCCTTTAAGGGGTGGCGTGGGGAAGGAGCGTCTTAAAGACTGGCTGCAGTGACCCTCTTGAGCTTTCGGGAGGCTCCTGGGATGGGGTCACTTTGGAAGAGGGCGAACACGGCCTATGTGGGCGTGGGAACGAGAGGCGAGAGCCGAGAGCCAAGCTGAAAGGATTCCGTCAGGATCCGCCTTTCCAGCCAAGCCGGCGGGAAGACGGGGAGATTCCAGCGAGCTTCTCCCAAGAGACGTCCTCTTTGGGAACCTCTTTCAAAGCATTTTTCTCTGTCTCTCTCCCTCTCTCCTCTCTCTATCTGTGTCTCTGTCCGTGCTTCTTTCTCCCCCTTTCTCCTCTGCTCTCCCTTCCCCTTCCCCCACCCTCTTCGCTCCCATCCCTCCGTCCAATCAATCTTGCAGTCAATACCACCATTGAATTTCTTTACTGAGAAACACTGATTTTGACTTCCCCTCTGGACTTAACGGTCTTTTTTTGCTTGTCATTAGTGCTAACCCCTTTGGAAGTTTAGCGCTACATTCAGTAGACTGTGGGAGTCTGCTAAAGACAGTATTTTAAGAATCACGCCATCTGGGAATACCAGTTTGTGAAGCAGCTACTTCCCCAGATACGGCTTTTTTAAAGTACTTTAAAGTAAGAAATGGGTAGGTATATATTTCATAGAAAATTTTCCAGTTGCACCACTTTATTTAGGCATGGTGGTGTGCATTTTTTTTTTACAGCTACAGCTGGAGATGTGCGTTCTTTCATTATTATTTTAAAAGGCTTTGCATAATTAGTTCCAACACGTTTGAGGTCATAGACCTTTTAAAGATGAAACTGATAAGCCTCCCGGGGGGAAAAAAGGGCATTTACACACCAAGTGGTTCTCACGGGAGAGAAGAAGGGAGATTATGACCCGTCCCAGAGGACATTTGGCAGGGTCTGGAGATATTTTTGCTTATCATGACTAGGGAGGTGCAACCAGCATCTGGTGGGCAGAGGCCAAGGTTGATGCCGAACACCCTGCAATGTACAGGATAGACCCCCAGAATTATCCAGGCCAAAATATCAACAGTGCTGAAGTGGAGAAAACCTATTTCAATAAAATGTCAGATGGTTCTCTGTTTCCCTGCAGCCAATCCATGATCAGAATCGCTGATCAAAAGCCCTGATGGAAGTTATTTTTATCTGTCTTGTAGGCCACTGGTTAACAAGCTCAGTGAAGGTATGGTAATGGCTGGTCTGATTTTCAGTTATGTATCCTAACCTAGTTACCACACAGAGCTTTCAGATCGGCATAACGTGCAGGCAGAAGACACGGCTCCATAAAGACAAAGTTATGGGAGAAAGATTCCGGCTCACCCTCTACACAGCCTGCGGTGGATGTTGGTCTAGAACATTTTCTCAACTTGGAGATTGAAACACTAAGTTCTTGCTGTGTCTCAGTCCTTATACTAAGTTTTCTTGATAGATTATTTTATCTAGTCCTCAAAAAAAAAAAACTGAAAAAACTGAAGGAAGTGCAATTACTATTTTACACAGAGGTTAAGCAATTGGCCTGAGAACTTACAGCTAAAAAGTGGACTTAAAAAAAATCTCGCTAGTGGTAGCTCACGGTGAAAAAGAATGTGACAGTGAATATATATATGTTCATGTATGACTGAAAAATTGTGTTCTACAATGGAAATTGACACAACGTTGTAAACTGACCATAACTCAATAAAATTAAAAAAAACTCATTATCTGCATTCTATTAAACAGAGTAAATGCTACTGAAGAGATTCAGCCTCAGATGAAAATGAAGATAGGGGAGGAAGCTGAATTTTTTTTATCAGGATGCACTATCCATTACTTGTGAAAGCACAGTGTGTTCCATTCTAGGACTCAAATTTATAACTTACATGAGTGAATTTGGACAAATGGTGACCCTTCTGAGCCTAAATTACCTCATTTGTAAAAAGAGTTGGAAATAGATGATTTCTAACATTCTTCTAGCTCATGACTTCTAGTGTCATGATTACATAGGTGCTTTTCTATTTGAGGAAAAAGTTGAGGAGTCAACTAATTTTGTTCCACTATGTAATTTTACAGATGAGGAAGCAGAGGCTCTGAGACCTTCCAGTGTCTTACCCAGAGCTGAGCCTTGACTGTATTGGAATTTCTCACTTCATTCCACCATGTATCTTCCCAAACATAAAATCATCTGGATTACTCTTTGAGTTCTTGTATACATACTTTATAGACAAATTGCATTATACTATCTTTAAAATCCTTGCATCGAATTTGCACCTTCAAAGAGTTTTTAAATTACATCCCAGCCAGAAGTTCTCACATAGCAAATGTTGCTTATACCTCTTATTTCAGGTTTGAGTTTCCAAACTGTTTGGATGGCAGGCCCATTGAGTCATAAGATGAGATCATGAATGTAAAAATACATGGAAAGCTAGAAAGCATCTCTGACAACACTCTTGGTTGGCTACCCACTATTAATTCCCCATCAGCTCTCCCATATTCACTAGATAACTTTCTAACCTCCTTTAAAGCTAGTGGTGGCCATATGACCCTGTTCTAGACAATGAACCTGCTGAAGAAGTCCTCTGGGGAAGAGCGTGTTCTCTAATAAAAGGAGGAGGCATAAGAGAACAGTTCTCTCATCATCTGGTTGCCATTGTTTACATTATTGAAGAATAGGATGTTTAGAGCTGTGGCAGCCTTCTTGTAACCATGAGAGGAATCACGGAGATCTAATTCCATCACCCCAACACGGCAGAGCTACACCCTTCCTTCTCAACTTTTTAGAAGTAAATTACAGATTATGAATATGGTTAAAGTCACTGTTATTTGAATTTCCTGCTTTTTAGTATCTGAAAGCATTTCTAATTAGTAAAGCACTGTACAGATAAGACCTATGCTAAGTGACAAAAAATCCAATGTTAGTCAAAATTGTATACCAGTGCCTGGCAACAGAAGATAGATTCAGTAATTAAACATTAACTGAGGGAATTAATCAACAGATCAATATTACTTTGATCATTATCCTGTTCTAGTGCAGCCTACAGAGTGGATATTTAACTTTTAAACAGAGAGGGTGTGCTATGCGAAATTAGGAAAGGAGTCGAGCAGTGAATATAGGGAACACGATGGAATCAATCACCTCTGACCTTTGGGGAGAAGTTGGAAAGGGACTTTGTTAGTTCCCATTTGCAACAATCACTGTAATTGGCTGATACAGTGTGCCCATTCCTGACGCTCTTCTTCCATATCTTCTTCTCCAGCTGAAGCAATGAAAGCTAAAACCTCCATTTCACAGCCTCTCTTGAGGTTTGAGGGCCACACTGGCCAATGAGAGGGGAGTGGGAGTGTGCTGGTACCATTATGTCCACATCCTCTTTCTCCAAGCTTAGAAGATGGGTGTGCTACACCTTGTAGCACAGCAAGCGTCTTTCAACCAGGAGGGGCCAGGCATGAGGACAAAGCCCATGCACTAGAAATGACAGAGTCAAAGGGTGAGTCTGGATCCGTGGTGTCTCCGTTAGGCAGCTGCATCAGCCTCACACTTCTCTTGGGTGAGACCAATAACTCTAAGCTGTTTACATCTGTGATTAGTAATAAATACATACCTGCCAGACTGTTCAAACCTGCCAGACTATTCAAACTAACAGTTCTCTTGCAGTCTAAGGGCCAGCACCACAGTCAAGTGGGTTAGAGCACAAACAATGAAGCAGAGCAGAGAGAGGGCAGAGCGGTGTCAAGGGAGAAGTCATTCTGCAGCAATTGGTGGCTGCAATGGGCATCCGCTGTCTATAGCGTCGATTAGAGAAGATGGACCCTCCTTAAAACCTGGTAGTAGAAACAGGAATAGCTATGAAGAGAGCTGACAAGATGTCTCCCCTTAAAGTCTTAACTTTGAGGGGTTTAAAGAGACTGAAACTCTAAGCGTTAGAAATGGCCTGATACAAGAAAGTGGCCGTTGAAGATATTCCAGCAAGAGGGGGGTGCAGGAAAGTGCAAGATGCAGAAGAGATCTAGTGGGTAACAAAGAGCTCCAGGCAGAGCCAGAGAAGAGAGACTTTCCTTAACTGCTCCTGGCTGTGAGCTTATTAGCTCATTATTGGAATATATTATTTGTTCCTCAACAGACGCTGTGAGACACCCCAAGAAAATGTTCCACTAGCCAAAAAGCTGTGATCACAGTTTTCAGGACAGACACCGCAAACAGGGTTAAAATAAATAGAGACCATGTTAAATTCCTCCTTTTAGCCACTTCCTTCCTTCCTTCGTTGCTAACCTACCCATTCCCTTCATGAATCCTATCTTAGACAAATTTAAATAGGTATTGTTATGGTGTCCATCTTATTTATAGAAGAAAAAAAAATCTCATGGGATAAGCGACCTTTCAGGTTTCCCGGTCTCCGTGTCAAGTAGTCTCAGGATGAAATCATGTGTTGCTTTTACGTGCTTCTTCTCCCGTTTGTATACATACGTTTACCACGGCAACCCCAACATCCCATTAGAGTAGGGTTGTCTATTTCATTTTCTAGAAACTTCCTTTCATGTGTTTGGTAGACTCAAGACCCCTCTTTCCTGTAGAAACTGCGTATGTCTACATATGTACAGTTTCTAAACAGAGTGATCTGTGTGGCTATATTCCCAGGAGAGCTCATGGAAATAAGATGCATACAGTCTGTGCCCTGCTCCCAGGGTGGCTGCCTGCATTATTCATTTAAAGTTTGTGAATTACTTTGGAAGCATAAAGTGCCATATAATTTCTCTGTATTACTCTT